TTCTCCTTCTTCCTCTCCCTCTCTCTCCTTCTCCCTCTCCCTCTCTCCCCTTCTCCTTCTTCCTCTCCCTCTCTCTCCTTCTCCTTCTCCTCCTTCCTCTCCCTCTCTCTCCTTCTCCTTCTGTCTCTCCCTCTCTCTCCTTCTCCTTCTGTCTCTCCCTCTCTCTCCTTCTCCTTCTTCCTCTCCCTCTCTCTCCTTCTTCTGCCTCTCCCTCTCTCTCCTTCTCCTTCTCCCTTTCCCTCTCTCTCCTTCTCCTTCTCCCTCTCCCTCTCTCCCCTTCTCCTTCTTCCTCTCCCTCTCTCTCCTTCTCCTTCTTCCTCTCCCTCTCTCTCCTTCTCCTTCTGCCTCTCCCTCTCTCCCCTTCTCCTTCTTCCTCTCCCCCTCTCCCCTTCTCCTTCTTCCTCTCCCTCTCTCTCCTTCTCCTTCTTCCTCTCCCCCTCTCCCCTTCTCCTTCTTCCTCTCCCCCTCTCCCCTTCTCCTTCTTCCTCTCCCTCTCTCTCCTTCTCCTTCTTCCTCTCCCTCTCTCTCCTTCTCCTCCTTCCTCTCCCTCTCTCTCCTTCTTCCCTCCCTCTCTCTTCTTCTCCTTCTTCCTCTCCCTCTCTCTCCTTCTCCTTCTCCTCTCTCTCCTTCTCCTTCTTCCTCTCCCTCTCTCTCCTTCTCCTTCTTCCTCTCCCTCTCTCTCCTTCTCCTTCTTCCTCTCCCTCTCTCTCCTTCTCCTTCTTCCTCTCCCTCTCTCTCCTTCTCCTTCTTCCTCTCCCTCTCTCTCCTTCTCCTTCTTCCTCTCCCTCTCTCTCCTTCTCCTTCTTCCTCTCCCTCTCTCTCCTTCTCCTTCTTCCTCTCCCTGTCTCTCCTTCTTCCTCTTCCTCTCCCTCTCTCTCCTTCTCCTTCTTCCTCTTCCTCTCCCTCTCTCTCCTTCTCCTTCTTCCTCTCCCTCTCTCTCCTTCTCCCTCTCCCTCTCCCTCTCTCTCCTTCTCCTTCTTCCTCTTCCTCTTCCTCTTCCTCTTCCTCTCCCTCTCTCTCCTTCTCCTTCTTCCTCTCCCTCTCTCTCCTTCTCCCTCTCCCTCTCTCTCCTTCTCCCTCTCTCTCCTTCTCCCTCTCTCTCCTTCTCCCTCTCTCTCCTTCTCCTCTCCCTCTCCTTCTCCCTCTCCCTCTCTCCTTCTCCCTCTCCCTCTCCTCTCTCCTTCTCCCTCTATCTCTCCTTCTCCCTCTCTCTCTATCTCTCCTTCTCCCTCTCTCTCTATCTTTCCTTCTCCCTCTCCCTCTATCTCTCCTTCTCCCTCTCCCTCTATCTCTCCTTCTCCTTCTGTCTCTCTCCTTTCTTTCTCTCTCCTTCTTTCTCTCTCTCTCTCTCTCTCTCTCTCTCTCTCTCTCTCTCTCTCTCTCTCTCTCTCTCTCTCTCTCTCTCTCTCTCTCTCTCTCTCTCATGACATATATCTGCCAAGCCCCCTCCTTTCTTCTTCCTCGTTCTTCCTCCACTAACTACATTATCATGTATCAGAGTCACCCCTTGGTACGTGTAGGCTTTATTGCTTTACACATGTTTTAGTTGCATGTTTTTAGTCATTCCTTTCTGCTTTCACTCAAACATAAGAGGTAACTGTTAAAACTTTTTTTTTTTTCATTTAGGTGTTCCACTGTATGTATTTCATATAGGCCTATGACTATGACATACATTGTTTGATGTGGAAAATCAAATTCTTGAAATAACAAAGGCCTATATTTGCCTTAATAAAAATAATAATACAACATTTCTTGTAATCATGGAATAAACAAGCTTGAGGGTTAACAGTTCTGAGCTGTTTGAAAATCATAAAAACCTAGTCTCACCTTCTGGCAGTCAAACTACACAAGGAATATAATGAAATAAAGTTGACAATTCAGAAAGTTACAAGAATTCAACAAAAGCAAAACTAGAATCCAAATAAAGTGACAATCTTGGTACCAACAGTTTGGGAAAACTGCCAGCTAAAATAAAAATTGTAAGATTTCAATAGTGTATCTGTACACCCTGGAGTCTAATCTAGGTTTACAAGTCAACAGGTTATTGCTGTAAATGAAACAAATACTAGATTCCCAAGATAATTTATCAGTAAACATATTTTCCTGGTAGACCTGGGTGTAAGGTCAATCATTTGTTGATAAGTAAGTCCTAAATCTCTAAATCTCTTTTTATGATATCTACTTAACTATGATATTTTCTAGAACAGGCAAGTAAAGAAGCAATGTACTAAATAACTCATGTTTCTTTATTACCTTTATTACACTTGTTTTGCTTGTCTTGGCATGCCTTCTTCTCATGATAACAATAATGCACTCCTTTCTTATAGAACTATCCAATTATCATGAAAAAAGCACTAACATAACAACCATAAAGTACCAGGAGTCTACAGTGTGTGTGTGTGTGTGTGTGTGTGTGTGTGTGTGTGTGTGTGTGTGTGTGTGTGTGTGTGTGTGTGTGTGTGTGTGTGTGTGTGTGTGTGTGTGTGTGTGTGTATATATG